TCTCAAGCCTGGCTTTCCTCAGATGCAAAATGGCAACACTCCGACATCAGGGCATCTTGGTCCACAAATCCAGTTTGCAGGGAAAACCTCACCTTGCGCTCCAATGACAGAATGTAACTAGTATTTCGTCCAAGTGTCCTTGGGATCACTTTGAGTCAGTTGAGTTGCCCTTCACCACTGGGTGGCAGCTCAGCTCCTAAGGCTTCCCTAGTGCACAGCACATGGGGAGCATCCTCATCTCCACCAACACCACTGTGCAAACCTTCCCAGCATCGCAAGCGTTGGTGCCCGGGCAAGGCCAATGACCTAGACAGGTGTGTGAGATTTTCTCTTCCTCCCATTAAAGCCATGGGTTCATGTGGTGGCTGTACCAGTGCCTTTCTCAAGATCCCTCTGCCACAGGGAGCAGCCAAGACTCCTGCCATCAAAACTGAAACCCTAACAGAGGGAAGACAGAGGAGAGAAGAGCAGTGTGGGCCCTTCCTGGGCGTGGCCCGTGACATACCCACTCCCATCTCACGGGACGGGGTTAGACATGTGACCACTTAACAGGGCAAGAAGGCCAGGGCAATGCTAAAAATCAGAGGTCCCTTCCTGAAGATAAGGAGGGGAATGTGAGAGTTGATTAGCAGCCTGAGGGTGGGTCTCCACTGCCCCCAAATCCTCCACTTCCAGAATTTGTTTCCTTCCTACCCAGGACCTAAACTTGAGGGCAGGATGGGGCTTAGGGAGGGGATCTGGAAGAAAGGGGGAATAAAGAATGTATCTTTATGGACTAAAGAGATGGCTCAGTGATTAAGATCATTGGCCACTCTTTTAGGGGACCCCGGCCCAATTCCCAGGACCCACATGGCAGGCTCACAGCTGTCTGTTAACTCCAATCCCAGGGAACCAGATGCCCTCTTCTGACTTCGGTAGGCACACGGCATGCTCATGGCGCACAAACATCCATGCAGGCAAAATGCTGATACACGCAAAATAATAAAATAATCTTTAAGAAAAAATGTAGCCCTCCCCTGCTCTGGTGCACCAGAGAAGTTCAATTAATTTTCTTTAAATGTGGCCAACTGTTTCCAGTCTATAATAAAAAAGAAAAATGAATGTAATTAACATTCTGGTGTGTATATGTTTGTGTTACAGGCACATACGTGCATGAATATGTGGAGACCAGAGGTCAACACTGGGTGTCTTCCTCAATTAGTCTCTACCTTGTTAGTTAGTTAGTTAGTTAGTTAGTTAGTTAGTTAGTTTTGATCAGGGTCTCTTGATGAACCCATACCTGTCGAATTTGGCAAAACTAGGTGGCTAGCAAGCTCCAGGGAATCCCCCTGCCTCTGCATCCCTGGCACTGGGATTACAGCCACACTCTGCACTAACCAGCTTTTTGCGTGGGTGCTGGAGGTCAGAACTCAGGTCCTCATGCTTTCGTGGCAAGCACGTATGGCTGAGCCGTCTTCACACCCACCCACCCTCATCAGCCATATTGACCAAATCTTTCCGTGTACACATTTGCTTCAAGTTTTAGGAAGTTAAATACAATTAATATGAATGAGGTCTCGGGTCTTCTTTCCCAACCCCTCCCTCACCTCTGCCCCAGAGGTGCCCCCATACTGAGTTAAGTGTGCATACACCCTTATATGTCTCATTCTTCAGATACCCCATGCATAGGCAATGCATGGTTCTGCTGTGGAACTTGATACAGATGATAACGTCTACATGACTCATCACACAACTTGCTCTTTCTTCTCAGAGTTGGCTTTGAGCTGCATCCACAATGATAACTGATTCTGCCTCCACCGTTTATCATGGTCATGCTGTGTGTGTGATGTAATGCTGTGGCATATGACTACACCACCACGTATTTATCTGTTCTTCCCAAAGTGGGTTCTCTTTTGTGACTGTGGACTATTAAGCCACGCTGTGGTAAACATCTCTGTCAGGGCCTCTTGGCACAGATACCCAAGAGTTTCTTGGCTTTGTGGTTTCCTGAGTGAGTCGGTGATGGGTCGTGACAGATTACCTGGTATATTCCTGAGCCTTACCCTAGACCTCCTGTAATGATTTGGATCTGAAATGGCTCGCCCAGCTTGGGGTTCTGAATGCTGCTCTGTAGCTGGAGAAGCTATTTTGAGAGGCTGGAACTGTTAGGAGCTGGGGGCTGCCTGGTAGAAGTCTGTCACTAAAGGCAGCCTTTGGAAAAATTTCCCGGTCCAACCTCCTCTCTCACTCTGTGCGTCCTGACCCGCTGTGATGTGAACAGCCTCCGCCAAATACTCACACAGCCATGACCTGCTCCTCTCCACCATGATTTCTCTGCCATCACGGGTGGAACTGCTTTAAAACTCTGGGCTCAGATAAACCTCTTTTCCCTTACAGTTGTCCCTGGAGCTATTAGGGATGGAGGAACAGCTCCCTAAATCGCCCTTGGGGCCTGAGAAGTTCCCTTAATCTCAACTCTGATAAAACTGGCCCCTTGGCTTCAACACAGAAAAGCATTTCAGGACAATCTAGCATGAGGTAGAGTTGAGTTTGTTACAGATAGAAAGGGGCTCAGGGAAAGACTATGGCACACCCAAGGGCACCGTGAGGTGGGGTGCGTCTAGAAGAGTCACACTCGGGTGTCCTAATGGTGACAATAACTTGGGGAGCTTTTTCCTCTCTCTCTCTCTCTCTCTCTCTCTCTCTCTCTCTCTCTCTCTCTCTCTCTCTCTGTGTGTGTGTGTGTGTGTGTGTGTGTGTGTGTGTGTGTGATGCCCATCCATTCAGAGGGCAGAAGAGGGCATCAAGTATCTCCCTCTGTTAACTTCCATTTTGACTTTTCAAGACAGGGCCTCTCACTGAGCCTAAGCTCACCATTAGCTAGGCTGGCTGGCCGTCAGGCTCCTGGGATCCACCTGTCTCCACCCCTCAATGCTGGAGTCACTTGGCTAGTCCTGGATTTTATGTGGGTGTTGGGGATCTGAATTCGGGGTCCCTTGCTTTGAGACTGCCACCAAGCACTGGCTAGTGCTCCTGTCCATGAAGCCACCTCCCTAGTCCCTGCTAACTGGGTTCCTATGGTACCTGACCCTCCCCTATATCTAGTCCCTGTCTGATCATTGAGACTCTGGGGTGTCTCTGGGGTGTCAGGTTTCCAGCTGGAAGGAGAGAAGGCCTCGGGTAGATGCTGGTGATTATATTGAGATTGATGCGCCTCTGCTGGTGAGTCTGTGGCCGGACTGCAGAGTGAGGGGCTCCTTTCCCTTCTCAGGTCCTTATAGGTTTTTTTCCTACCCTGACTCAACATCAACACGGAAGTAGCCAGTCACACGGCCATTCTGGAATGGGGGGTCAGAGGCTGAACTGCTGGATGTGAGAAGGCACGTCTTCGAATTTACTGGATGCTTGTCTCCAGGAGTTACATTAGCAGAAGGAGACGTCTCCTTCCATTCCTGTCTGTCTTTGGTGTCATCCAGGTTGGGCAGGTTTTGCTGAATGAGTGGGAGAACCTGGCTCCGCCTGGGTCTGGTCTGGTGGTGTGGCTCTCTCCAGTCCAGGGCCCTCTTGTGGCTGCACACTTACTTCCTCTTGGCTGCCAGCTGCCTGCAGCTTTGGAGAGCCCAAGCCTTTACTCTTCTGTCCCACTTACGCGTGTTTTTTTTTTTTTCCTGGAGCAAGCTCACCGAGGGCACTGGCACTCTTGCCCAGTACCGAGGGTACACAGTGTCACGGGGTACATATCTGCCACAGTGTGACTCTGTGAGGGCCACCCACATCAGTCAGCTCCTTGGGTGTAAGAAACAGAAATTGGGCGATGAGGCGGAAGGCTCTCAGGATTCTGGGTTGGGAGATAGGAGAAAGTGACAGAAACCTACCAAGTCTAGCAGAGACCATGGACGTTCCCACTGGTCCCTTACTGTGTACCAGGCGTGAGCTATATCATCCAGGCTTTGTGAGGACTGCCCTCTGCTGCCAGGAGCAGGGGTGGCTCCTGGTTTCCACTCTGGGGAGGCCCTGGCACCTCAGTGGGGAAGATACACACTGATGGGAACAGAAGGGCTGGGAGCTGGAGAGCCAAGAATGCCCTCTTCTGAGGACCCGTGGGCTCAGGTCAGCCAGGGTGGTAACCAGCTCATTCAATGTCCCAGCTTGATGATGTGTAAAACAGAGCAATTTAATGCTCTCCGTGTCCTTCCTTAGTGACTCCTGCTCAAATTCCGACTCTTCCCACCACCTAACCCCAGTGGTCTCCACTGTTACCTCTCTTCTGGGCACCGGCCTCTGCAAGACATAACCAGACCCTCTGGCCTGGCTCCTGCGTGAGTCCCCTCACCGCAGTGCTTGCCATGAAGTCTGGTGGGCTTCCTGCTGCCGCCCTCTGCCCCACTCTTCCGGGCTCCTCTGCTCAGAGAGGAACAAGGAAGGACCGGCAGCAGGGCGGGGCTTAAGAGGAGCATCTCACCTGGGTCACAGAGGCCTCCTGTGAGCCTTGTCGTGGAGCATCCGACTCTGCTCCACAGAATGGTTCACCTTCCCCTCAGCTTGGCAGCCTCGTTCCCACTTCCCCGCTTGGGCTGCCCGAACCCGATGGTGGGTAGCCTTTGTGATGGTGACAGCGGGGACTGGAGTTCAGAAACTGAGAAAGAAGGTGGTGTCACACACACACACACACACACACACACACACACACACACGAGAGAGAGAGAGAGAGAGAGAGAGAGAGAGAGAGAGAGAGAGAGAGAGAGAGAGATACCGCTTTAGTAAAGCGTAAATGTGCCTGTAATAGAGAAGCCCAGGTAAAAGTGTCTGAACAAAAGTAGACATTGATTTCTGTCACATCAGCAGTCTACAGACGCCTAGTTCTATGTCCCATTGGCCGGATTTTGATCGCATGATATCTAGTAGTCGAGGATGCTTGGAAATGTGGTCTTCCATTGTATCCAGCTAATAGCCCAATGCGTCCATCTAAGCAGCTCACGTGTGTGATTTGCCTCTCTTTCTCCCCCCTGGTCTGGCTGCAGCAGGCACTGGTCTGGGGGGCAATTGCACGGGCTGTGTCATATGTTCGGAGGAGAACGGCTGTTCCACCTGCCAGCAGAGGCTCTTCCTGTTCATCCGCCGGGAAGGTATCCGTCAGTACGGCAAGTGTGTGCACGACTGTCCCCTCGGCTTCTTCGGAATCCGTGGCCAGGAGGCCAACAGGTGCAAGAGTACGTGTCTCCTCCCGTGCCGTAGGCAGGCTTGGGTAGGGCGACCCCGTATTCTACCCTCTCCCCAAACATACCCTGGGAGGAAGCAGAAGCATGCCAAGCCGGAGCTTGCTGGTTTTAGCCAGCCCTAGGCCAGGTAGACTCCTCCCTGATTCCATCAGCTCTAAGAGGACACCAGCAGCTCTCGGCACCAGCAGGGCAGGGAACCTCCTCTTCTGCCTCGGTTCTGCATGGCCTTCGGCAGGCTTCTCGCCTCCTCTGGGTCTTGCTCTAGTAGGAAAAGTGGTCCTGACCTTTCCTCCATCTTCACTGTGACCTAGGACAAATCATTACTAATCTCTGAGTGGTGTGGGTAAAGGGTGAGGGAGCTTCACTCCCAGCCCAAACTGGCCATGTGACGTCTAGCACATTGTTTCCTGTGCTCAACTTCAATTAAGATAAGAAAAGGAAGGCCCCCTCCTGTGCGGCCCAGCTCAACAATGTGCAAGTCTGAGCTGCTGGCAGCACACTGTATCCAGACCCCAGTGACCTGCACAGAGGCCTTCCCGCCTCAGGCACACCCATGACTCGTGGTGTCCTGGCTCTGTTGCAGAATGTGGGGCCACCTGCGACAGCTGTTTCAGCCAGGACTTCTGCATCCGGTGCAAAAGGCGTTTCCATCTCTACAAAGGGAAGTGCCTGCCCACCTGTCCACCAGGCACCTTGACTCACCAGAGTACCCGCGAGTGTCAGGGTGAGTGAGGCCCTAGCCACCTGCCCTGGCCTTGGGGGAGACGTCAGGAGACCTGGAAACAGTCAGTGAAATGTTCTGGGGTGATGGGCAGCCCAGCCCCCTGTTGGCACACAGAGCATCTTCGGGGCTCTAATGTCACTGTCACCATCAAGATCATGGATACTGTGCCACCAACTCTGGCATTACTATTGTCACCAAGAGTGTTCTCACCAGCAGGGCAAAAAGAAACAGTGTTACCATGGCTTCTCAGAAAGTCACTTCATCTGTGTCCTGGGGCTTCTCTGAAGATTATTAGAAAGTAGCACAGGGCCAGGGGCGTGGCTCTATGAGGAAAGGGTGGGTCCCCAGCACCCATGTAAAAGCCAGGCACAGTGGGTGCTCTCTGTAACCCCTGTACTGTGAGAGACAGGCGGACCCCTGGGGGTGGCTGAGATCTCTGTCCTCACACTTCAGTGGCAGACAGAAGGGACATGCAATTGGTATATAGCACGTTAGGTGCAGAATCTTTGAGAGGAATTCTGAAGTGGTATAAAGTTCCTGGACGCAGCCCATCAATCACTCCCTACACCTTTCTTCTCTGGTGTGGCCTCCTGGGTATGTCTCTGAGCCTGCATTCCCATCCATGACCAGAAAATAGGAGACACCAATCTGCAAAATGCTGCTGCTGCTCAAGGCTCTCTGTGGCTCTTATTAGCCTCTGGCAGAGCCTTAGGCAATCGAGTTCCCATCTATGACCTTTTTACACATCTTCCTCCTCTTCCAGGCTGGACCTGCCTATTGTAGGTCAGCATCCTGGGGACTTTGTGGGGTTTCCATTCACTGGAAGCACCTTCTACCTCTCCTTCCCACCCCACTGGACACTCAGTACCATGGTGTCCTCCAAGAAGGCTTCCCGGACTCAAGGGTGTGGTCCATTCCTCTGGGCTCCCACAGCTTCTGGCCCTCCAGAACTGCACAAAGCACCTCTGCCTGCCTGGTGCAGTATCTCAACATAGTGAGTTCTGGGAGGCAGGCAGGTGCAGCTACCTTTCTGTACCTGCAACTCTGGGTCTCACAGTAGGTGCCCAGTCTTGGACTTGTCAAGTGAATCCATAGGGCAGTGGCAGCATGGCCACCTCGGGTCCGGAGACCTGTTCCCACCCTGCTCTGTACACCTGTTCCTGCTCCAGGCCTCAGCGCCTAAGACTGCAAGATGGGACATTCACTGTCCCCAGAGCTGGCTGCTGCCTCCTGCTCAGAAATGAATGGGAAGTATCTGAAATTCCCTCTTCTGAGAAGTTTCTGCCCATGACCTCCTTGTCCCTCCCTACATCACTGGGTGGCTTTGACCTTCTCCAGCTGATCGAGTTCAAAGTTAGAGCCCTGATCCTGAGAACCTTTTAGCAGCCAGCTACCTCTACGTCTGTCCCCAATTCCTGCACCTTTCTGAATTCCAGCCACTTGGCCCATCAAATCCTGCTGACCAAGGAGGCGTAGTTCAGCTTTGTTACCTCTTCTGTGAAGCCTTCTGCTTCACTGGCAGGAGTCTGCCCTGGCTTCTAGCGCAGTCTTCATGGAGCTCTTGGCAGGCTCCTGCAAATAAAGTCTCTGTGTGTATTCTCTGCTACCAGCGATAGACTGCGTCCCTAGTAGGTGGAGAGCCTCAGACTGCTGGTCCTTAGATCCAAGAGGCACACAGTACCAACTGACTCACCTGTCTGTCTCCCTCTTCACCCACAGAAGAATGTGAGCCAAGCCCATGGGGCAGCTGGAGTCCCTGCATACGCAATGGAAAGACTTGTGGCTCAGGCTGGGGCCTAGAGACCCGGGTGCGGGAAGCTGGCCCGGCTAAGCAGGAGGAGACAGCAAGCTGCCGAGTGTTATCTGAGTCCAGGAAATGTCCTATAAAGAGGCTCTGCCCGGGAGGTGAGTCCTAGGCCTGCAGGGCTGCACTGGGAACAATCCACAGGTGAGCTCTGAGTCTCCAGGGGCAAAGACCCACACAGATGGCATCTGAAGGTCACCTGAAAGGTCTCTGATTGCCAGCCCTTCCTGTAAGCTAAGCATCACCTATGGGGTACTTACAGAGAAGGGTCCCAGATACAGTCGGAAGACTGATTGGCATATCCAGACCCCCATTTCCAAAATTCCAATAAGGATTTTGGAAAAGTCTGGTGTTTCTAGTACCATCATGTGAGAAGGGGCTTCCCTTGAGTTTTGGGTGTCTAGTGGAGCTCCTGAGAAAGCCTGGATGTGGGGCCTGTGGGTGCAGTGCAGTGTAGCACCCACACTGTAATACAAAAGAGAAGTGTGATGCCAAGAAGGAGATGCTTGGCCCAGCGTACAGGGATCAGTTGGAGACAGGTCCCAGGAATGCAGAGAGCCAAGGTTGCCGTAGAGATTTGAGTGCAATACTCTAAAACCCTAGGCACGCACGTGCAAAGAGATCTCAGCTCTGAGGAATCGATGCTGTCAACTATGCATCAATAGAATTGGGGGGGGGTATGCCTATACCACCCCACTACATACCACAGGAGCCCCTTCACTGGGGAAGGTAAGACCACAGATTCCAATGGAGACCACTGAGAACCCCCAAAAGAGAGAGTTGTGAAGTATGAGAGGCATCAGCACCAAAAAAAAATCAATGTTAAGACCAAGAGCCTGGCGTATTAAATTCTCTACAGTCACTGGCTCATTTGATCTGCGTAACGATTATGATGTAGGTATAGTTATTATCCCGTCTTGGGAGATTGAGGCCCACAGAGCTTGAGTCACTTGCCCCCGAGTCACATAGCCAGAGTGGGTGGACCCTAGAGGTCAGATGTTAATCAGTAGCAAAGAAGAATAGTCGTAGTCAACAGTGAAAGACCTGGAGCCCAGGACACAGGACACACCGTTGGGACATCGCAGAGGCAGAATTTGAATTCAGGGACTCTCCCACCACCATCATGACCCACACAATCACAATGAGCAATTGGGACAGTGAGTAGGATCTAGATGAGACTAGACACCCAAAACTCAAGGGAAGCCCCTTCTCCCATGATGGTACCAGGGGCTGAGCTGCAGGCACTGTGGTGATCGCTCTGAGTGGCATATGCTTATTGTCTGAGTTCCCAGAAGGCTGCAGAGCCTCCTCGTATGGGCCTCAGCCCAGGCACCTTGTCCACTCAGAGGTCTTCAGAGCTCCCCTTCCAGAGTTGTCACTGGTCACATGATGTCACCACCGTGACACCTCTAGGGGACAGCACTGCTCCGTCTGCAGTTGTGGGTGGTGTGTCTGTGGTCTCTGGAGGCCAAGGCTGCCAATGATGCTGGACCAGGCCCCAGATGTTGACGGGATGAGTAGGCGCATGGGTGGAGGGAAGATGGGTGGGTGGGTGGGTGGCTGAGTTGATAGTTGTATGGGTGGATGGGCAGATGGGTGGGTAAGCAGAGAGTTAGTGGGTGGGTAGATGGGTAGGTGCGTGGGTTGAAAGACAGGGGAATGAGAGGGTCAGTGGATGGGTAAGCGGGTAGTGAGTGCGTGGATACATGAGTGGAAGGGTACACAGGTATACAGGGAGGTTGCTTGGGTCAGCAGGAGGGTGTGTGGGTGGGAGGGTGCATGAGTGAGTGAGAGTGGGTGTGTGGAAGGTGTGCAGATGCAGCTAGCAGGCTAGCGCAGAGGGAAGATGGGGACGCTTCTTCCCCATCACTCATCCCTCCCAATCCCAGCCTTCAGAGCTGCTAAGGACCTGTAGTACTCTGATACGTTCCCAGATTCCACCCTCACCTGTGGCCTGCAGTGTCTCCAAGGCTTTAGATTTGGTGGGACGCCCCAAACGTGGGCAGCCTAGTCTGTGGGGTGACACTGAGTCTGCCCTGCAAGGGGAGATGTTGAGGCCCTGACTCTTTGCGAGAGCACAGCTAACCCTGGAGAAATAGTTCTTGCCCTGTCTGTGACAGGGTTCGGAGGTCTCTCCCTGTCTGCTATGTGCCCTTGGAAAGCAGCGCGCTGAATGATGTCATCAGTCCTGAGAGCACACAGCCCCCCAGGGACCCCCTTGAGATGAAGAGCATAAGAAAATGGCTTGGGTGAGGAGATACTTTATAAACTGGAAACGTAGGGTTGGCCTGGCTCCCAGACACACCTCAGTCTGTCTTCTTGCCGGCAGGGGAGTGCCCCCCCCCCTCGGGAAGGATGCCCCAGGGAGCTGGCAGATCCCTGCAAAGGCGTGCCAGCCAAGTGGAACACCACAGGAAAGCGCAGACAGGGCTAATGACAAGTGAGCAAAGAGGGGCTGCCGGGGCTGGAGAGATGGCTCAGAGGTTAAGAGCACTGACTGCTCTTCCAGAGGTTCCGAGTTCAATTCCTAGCAACCACATGGTGGCTCACAACCATCTGTAATGAGATCTGGCGCCCTCTTCTGGCCTGCAGGGATACACATAGGCAGAACACATAATAAATAAATAAATAAATCTTAAAAAAAATAAATAAATAAAAAGAGGGGCTGCTGAAGGAAGCCAGCAGAGGACCCTGCCAGGGGACATTCAGCTCTCCTAAAGACAGCATGCTGGGACTCTGTCCACACCCTCGGCTGTCTGGCCACTGGTCACCCAAGCAGCCTCAGCCCAGATGAGCTCCTCTGAAGGGAAATCAGAACTGGCCCCAGGTGCTCCAGGCCACTGAGCAAGTTCATTCTGACCAGCCCTTGATCACCGTATCTGAGAAAAGGGACTAATCTGGTGTTCACGTTTGACACAGGCCGTATTCCTCCGGGGTTGGTAAGATATGCTTGGGTCTAGCTGAGACCTGAGTCACATTTATAGCATCTGTACTGTGGGAGCAGCTGAGATCAGCCTCTTTCCCTCCCTGTCAAATGGGCCAGAAATGGTAGCTTTGCGTGCATGCATTTACTCTCCATACTCTCTGGGTCATCCAGCCCGCAGCTATATCTCAGGGTCTTGGGCTGCAGGGCCGCTGGTGAAGGCAGAGCCTGGCTGGAAGTAGCCAGAGAGTTGACAGGGCCTTGTGCAGAGAAACTGAGTCTCCAGCAGGAAGTCTTATTAACATATGTGGAGAGGCATGGGGTCCTTCAGCCCTTACAGGCCTTTGCCCAGCTCCACCTCCACTCCAGGCACTCCCTCCTCAGGTCAGTGTCCTCCAGACCCCCTAGGAATCACCTGCGGCCCTGCACTAAAACAGGGTGACTTTGAGTCCAGCGCTCCAAGCCTGCCGGGAATACTTGGGGTTCCCTGATCTCTCAGGACCTCCCTGGACCTGTGTTCTCTTACAGAGAGAAATCCCAGGCAGAAGAGCCGGAAGGATCGACGCCAGCGCAAGGACAGGAAGTCGGAGCGCAGGCCGCAGCAGCCTGGCTCACAATGACGGGCTCCAGCTCCATCATCTGGCCTCTGCCCTTCCCTTCTTCCCCTGCTCCGCTCTTTCCCACATCCTGCCTCTTTCTGCCTTACCTTCCTGTCTGTCTGCGGCACTTCATCCGTCTCCCTTTTCTTCTCCCCCCTCCCTCCCCTCTTTACTTTCTGCTTTCTTCTTTGGACCTTTCCTTCTCTCCAGGCACCCTTTGTTTTTCATTTCCTCCTGCTCTACTTTCCGATCTTCACTGTCCACCCCCACCCCATACACGGACACACGTAAGAAACTGTGCCTATGTTCTCCATGTGGCTCTCGACACCTCAACTCCAACGTATTTCTTCCAGATCTTTCTGTGACTCTACCCTGACCCTCATCTTTGCAGAGTTACAATTTAGGAGGAATAGGGATGGGTGCAACTTGACTGCTCCTGGGAGCCCAGCTTCGAGCCAGAGAGACCCTGCAACCTGAGTGGTGAGCCCTTCGCCAGGACCAGTCCCTCAGGGCCATTTCTGCAGCACCCAGCCATGGCCTCTGCAGTGAGGCTACCGGGGATGGGTTCCGAGATCTCCCTTGCACCCCTTGTCCAGGATGGTGGTGTAGGAATCACTGGGGGCCCTTCGGCTACACAGTGGCCTCAGACCCACCGTCACATCCTTCTGGAAATGCCTGCAACACACCCTCAGTGCCCCCTCCAATCTCCCTCCCAGAGTGCCCGTGACCTTTCCCCCAGCTGACCACCCTCCCAAGGCCTTGGGGGACCCATGCACAGAATCAGGTGGGACATTTATTCCTGAGGGAATAAGTCTCTCATCTCAAAGGCTATTGAAGTTACATGGAGTTTAGAGCTGGTCCCACCCACTCTGTTCTCTACCCTCTTCCTGCCTGCCCCTCATACCCATAGAGAAACCGACAGCTAAGGAAGCGATGGGCTGACACCCCCAGCCTTCGCTCAGCACATCATGTCTGTGAAGAAGCCTGAGGGCGTTTGGGGAAGCAGTGGGGAAAATTGCCGGGTCAGCAGTTGGGATGGCTTCCCACTTACCCACCTCCTGTGTGGACATCCTGAGGATCGTCTACTGGGATTCCTCCAACTCCAGGCAGGAAGGACACTGGGAAAGCCTTCAAGTAGATCACACTGATTGGCAGGTCTGTCCTTCCCCCTGCCATTGGCCCAGGAGCCGTCATTGTTGCTGGGGAGGAGTTTGGACAGTAGAGCTCAGGGACAGCTGGAGAAGGATGCGGTACAGGCAAGAGAGACGCGACGCTCCGTGTGATGTCATGTCACCACCACCACCACCACCACCACCCCACCACCACCCCCTCACCCACCCCCCCGCAGGCAGTAACCCTCACACCCACCCTACACTTGGCAGGTGAGGGTCCTCAGCACCACTCCTGATCCTGTAGCTGTGTTCCTCCATGGTGTCCCACGGAGAACAGCCGGATCCCCTGCTGGCCAGGCCAAGCCCCCCACTTCTCTGTAGAAGTTCACACCCCTGAAATGCTTTCTTGTTTTGAGACCCCCTGGCTATTTTTTAAAGAAAGAGAAAAAGAAAGAAACTCACCAGAGCTTCTTGGGCATCGGATAGGGTTAGAACTACCATGTCCAGAAGTTCACAGTAGCAGATTCTAAACTCCCTGGGGCAGCTTCCACCAGGAGTGTTCAGGTTGAGAGGGGCCAGGGTTCATGGGGACTGACGGGACAGGGGTGCTTCCAGACCCTCTTAAGAAGGGGGCTCAGGGGCTCTGTCATTAAAATGCTTGCCTTGCTACAGTAGGACCTGAGTGTGACCCCCAGCACCCACATGAAAAAAGCCAGGCATGGTGGCATGCCCTTGTGGTCTCATAGCACCAGGGAGGCAGAGACACGCAGATGCCTGGGGCTGATGGCCAGTCAGCCTGCCCCAAGAGGCAAGCTCCAGGTCAGTAAGGAACCTTGTCTCCAAAACTGTAGCCAGCACCTGACGAACAACACCTGAGGCTACCTTCTGTCCTCTACACACTTGTACACAACAGGCAGAGAGAGAGAGAGAGAGAGAGAGAGAGAGAGAGAGAGAGAGAGAGAGAGAGAGATCACCTGAGCTTCAGCCGGAGGCAAAAGATGACATATCCTAGCAAAGCCTCAGCATCATGAATTAGTTACAGGCCAGGTCCACACTTGTGCTCTGTTTGACTTCTTAGAAACCCAGAGCCACCAGAAAGAGCACAGTGTCACTGAGTAACGGCTGTGACCTGGGCTTCCTCTAACCTGGTGTAAGCTCAGCCTGTGAGCGGTTGACTGTGAGTCTGGGCCAAGCCACATGTCCTTCTCCGGCTTGCACTACTCCTTTGGATGAACGAAGAGGAGGCAAGGCTGGACTCGTCCCATCGTCTGCATCTGGAAGGTCCAGCCACGGGCTGGGCTTTAAGGGTTTTTTTTTAAGCTTCAGATTTCGGGGTCCCACCCCCAGACCTATACCTTATGAACAATCTGAGAAGCAAATGAGACAAGTGAACTTACTCGAGGCTGAGTTCAGGGTCTGGATTGAGGGCCATAGCTCCGGCTCTGACCCCACAGCTCAAGGGTCTGAGTGTGTGGATAGATTGGAAACGGAAATACGTTCTGTCTGGAGTTCTCAAGCCCTGGGCCACTGGAGGCTCTAAATCCCACAGCTGTTCCAGGACCAGAGTGCAAGGTCTCTGGCCTGCCATTGTCTAGCCATGTTCTTTCCCCTGTGAGGTGGGGAACCTGATACTCTTCTGCCCCTAACTGAGAGCTCTGGGTATTTTTTTAAAATATTGTTTTAATGTTTCCAGGTTTAAATGATTCTCCCAGGGGCCCCCCACTGTAACCTAGGGCTTCTGCCACCTACTACGCTTTTGTGGTCCATTTCTCCAACCTTCCTGGTAAGGGAAGCTCCATGTCATCAAGAACTCATCTGAACGCCTCTTGTAGGCAAAGCTGGGAAAGTTCAGAAATGCTCCACTTCTGGAGTCAGGGAGAAGGCCAGTGAGGTTGGTTGGCCCCTCAGTGATGTTCTAGCGGCAGAGATGACATTTTGCCCATCCTACCCTTTGCCATTCCTGCTGGACTGCACCAGGCCTGATGTACCTACTCTGTCCCCATCTCCACCAGACGGGTCACCATGGGCTGCCTGTTATTCCCACATCCAGCCACTAGAGGGTGTGACTCAATCAGGAACTGCCAGCCTGTTTGCTGCCCACTCTCTTGAGCTTGGGGGCATATTGCTGTCCTGGAGGACAGGGAGAGACTGCCTCCCACCTCAACTGACCAGTGACTTCAGTGGAATGGCCTTCACAGCAGCACACAATGTCTAGAGTCCAGACCCGGGCCCCAGGCCACTCCAAGCACAGAACAGAAACCTGACTCAAGACACCAGCCAACATTCCAGGAGAGCCGTACTGACTGACCTCTGCAGACACCAGCCCCAGGCGACCGTGAACATCCCAAGTAGTTTTAAGAAAATTTCATGCATCCCGTGGGATCCTTCTGACTTGGAAATGTGCATTCTAACAATAAAAATGATAGTGATGGTGATGGTGTTCCCGTATTAGTTGTGGTAGAGGCTAAGAGTCTTACCACTGTCTTTCTGGTCTCTTGATTCTTCTCTCCAGTGGAGACCACAGTAACTCACATTTTCCTGACTCCCTCCTATATACCTGAATTTTCACAACCTTTATCTCCTGTTTGTACCCACAACCCTGTCAGCCAGCTTATAGAAGAGAGAGACTCGTCCAGATCCGTCAGCCTCATCCACTGAGTACAAAATGCATGAGGTGCCTACTGTGTGCTTCACACAGCAGGATGCTGGTGATAAAGACCTGGACATTTGTCCCCTCTGTGCTCAGTCAACTCCCATTGTGTGACAGGCCTTTTGCAAAGGAGGCATTCTGGGAAGAGGGTTGAAACGTCCATCCACAGCCCATTGGTCAGAGATCTCCAGCCCAGGGAACCCGCTGTTAGCAAAAGGCATGAGAGAGGCTGTGTGGAATCACTTTATACAGAGGGCCCAAAGATCTGTTCCCATACCAACTTCAGCCTCAGAAGCATCCAGATCTTGGACCACGGGCCCAAGGTGAGGCTGCTGTTCCTGTCCTGGGCCTCCATCACTCAGCCTGCCCCACAGCCCCGGGTTGCCACCTGCCTGACTCCGTGAGGCAGAACAGACACACACCCTGACCTACAGTGGGGAAAGGCGGAAGGGCCGTGAGTGGCTCCTCCAGGCCGATGGTTCCAGCCCCCAGCTTGGAGTCTCCCCGGTGAAGGCTGCCCTCCTGTCCTGCCTGGGCTCCTGACCCTCAGAACCCGAGGGCACAGCTGATGAAAAACAGCTGTTTTCTGCTCCTGGGGTAGGGGAGGGCCATTTCCCAGCAGCACACAGCTGGATTGGACTGATCTTGAGATCTGTCTCCTAGGGCAGAAGTGGGCTGTATAAGAACTGAGGACAAAGTCACAAATGCCATCTGCGCCCCCGGCTGGCTATGAGCCACAGACGAGAACCCACAGTCTCTGCCTCAGTCTTTTCATCTGTGAAAGGGGATAAAAGTAGTCTCCATGGTGTCCGTGTGAGGTTTCAGCACGGCAGTGTGTAAGAAAGGGTTTAGAAACTTAAGTGCCTACGATCGGCCTGCTCACTATCTATGCATTCAACAGACATTAACTAAGCACACTGTCGGAGCAAGAAGCTAGGCCAGCCGTTTAACCGGGAACACTAAATCCATCCTCACCAGAACACTCTTTAGTGGGTTCTTTCATTAGTTTTTTGTTTATAAACAGGGAATCCAAGACTTAGAAAGCAATAGAGTGGGAACATGGAAACAAAACAAAACAAAAACAAAAACCCCCACCACAGCCACATCACACACTGACCAGGACCATCCTCACCCCCAGCTCGTGGGGTATCTACAGGTGGAGTTCCATGACCCTTCCTGCAGCTTGTCTTGTTCCTGAAGGACGAGACCTGCTTTGCACAACATAGGAGAGCAGAACAGGACCTCCCACGGGAAATCCAAATCATGACAGCCCATCACCAAGACGCCATCTTTCAAAGAGGCAGAATGGTGATTGCTACACACGTCTCCACCTTCCCCGCCTTCCTCAAAGGCGTGCGACTCGGCCCAGCTGCTCCAGAAGGCAGCTGACCGCGTCCCCACAATGGCCGTGCACACGTCCCCTGGTCCCACCACCCACTGCCTCCGTTCCCCTTTCACTTACACCGGCCCACAAGCAAAATGTCAAGGGTTCCGGGGTCCACGGCTACTCCCTCTGGTCCCGTATGTGACTGCACACAAGGAAACCAGAACTACCCAGGGGGGCTGTGAATATACACTCTCGGTGGATACCAGCTGGCATAAAGGCATCGTGAAGGGCCTTGAGATGGATGCCACAGCTAAGTGATGTGCTGCTGAGAGAAAAAGCAGGTCCCGTTACAGAGTGCAGGGTGAGACCGCTGTGGAGGGGAAGGGAAGGCCCTTGGTGTGCAGGGCAGGCGTGTGCCAACCCTGTGTGAAGGAAGACCCTGGCGGCTTGGGGGAACAGGGTAACGGCTGGGGCTGGAGGGAGGCAGTGAGGGCCTGACTTCACCTCCATGCCTTCTGAATCTAAGCCGTTTGACCATGACAGCAGGTCAAAAATATCACGAAAACTGGTCGTAAGATGCTCTTAAAAGGACCCCAAAGGCTTCAGCATAAATTCCGAAAGGAAGCCTCTTTCAGACAATGTTTAGAACTTAAGGAGGGACACTCCTCCCACCCCAGTGTGCAGATCCAGCTGCCTCTCAAAGACTGAGGGTCCAGCCTTGAAAGGTGCACCACCCACTGTTTCCCAGCAAGCCTGCTCCTGTCCGCACAGGCCATGTCCGCTCCTCCACCTCCGTGTCCATGTCCACACAGGTGTGTCCACTCCTCCACCTCCATGTCCATGCCCATACAGACCATGTCCCCTCCTCCACCTCCATGTCCATGTCCACACAGGCCGTGTCCACTCCTCCACCTCTGAGCATGCTCTGGGTGTAATGCTTCTAAGACATGGTCCAGATGCCCAGACTCTGAGGGACTGGGCCTCCACCCTCCGGGTCCCTCTGTCCTCCCTGAAGTGAAGCCATAGAGTGTGCCAGCAAGTCACGGGGCATGTCTCCAGCACTGTGCCTAGCTGGCTGCTTGACCCTGAGCGAGTGAGCCCCTCATCCTGGTGGCCTTCCCAGGATGGTGGTGGAATCAATCCAATGAGGTGTCAACACCAGGCATTCAGCGAGGCTCTGTGAGGTAGGTAGCTCTTTCTGTCATCATTCATTTCCTTCTGTCACCAACCCCTGAATGAAGTCATGTATCCTCTTCACATAGACACTCCTCCTTCAGGGAGACTTGATCTATTTACCTTTCTTTCCTCTACCAGCTCCCCATTCTATGCTTTGCTTGTCCTATACCTGTCTAGGTCGCCAGGGGGCAGCAGTGTCTAGAAAGCTGGGAAAGGGAACCTTGAGGCTGGATTGGGTTGGGGGAGAAGCCACCAACAGTCACCCATTTCTCCACCAGCATCGTACCTACGTCACAGTCTGCCCTTAAGGGAAGTCAGGGCAGGAAGTCAAGCAGTAACTTGGAGGCAGGAACTGAAACGGAGACCACATGGCGCCCTGCTCCCTGGCTGACATCCTCTGGTTTGCTCAGACACTTTTTTAATACACCCCAGGCCCACCTGTCTAGGGATGGCGCCTCCCACAGTGGGCTGGGCCCTCCCATGTCAATCATGGATCAAAATCATGCTCCACAGGCTAATCTGATGGTGGCAATTCCTCAGTTGAGGTTTCTCTTCCCAGATGACTCTACTGTGTGTCACGTTGACGGAAACTGTACAGCACAGGCAAACACCACGTTTTTCTCTCCTGTGAGCAATCTGGTTAAACACAGGTGCTCACACCCGTGAATGGAGGACGTGAAAACAGAAATGGTCCTCTGAGCACATCTGTGCTTGGCAGTTTCCTCCTCGGGCAGCCCAGTACAGGAAGAGCCATTTCACGGATGAGCAAACGGAGTCGCTCTGGGCCACGCAGCTCTTTGAGATCACAAATGTAACCATTCCTTATGGGTTTTGAGCAGCAATGAGCAAGCATTGGGACCCATAGTGGGGAAGAAGAGAATTCACTCCCACAAGCTGTCCTCATGTGTGCCATGGTACATGTGCACATATGTACACGCATACACACACACACACACACACACACACACACACACACACACACACACAGTAAATAAATAAAATGTAATTTAAAATTTTCAAAATGTCTGTTTTTAATTATCTTTGTTGACTAATTTTGAGTCTCTTCTCACACACTTACTCATTGTCAACATCTATTACTATCTATGATGGTGAATCTTCATTCTCCACTTGATTGGCTGGAGGCTGGCCTGGAAGATTAGTATAGCACATCTCTCCTGCCCATGAGGGCATTTCCAGGAAAGATAAACCAAGGGGGAGCGCCCCCCCCAGTGTGGGCAGCACCCACTCCACATGCCGGGGGCCAGTGGAACAAGAGAAGGAAGAGGAGGTCACTAGTGCAGGCTCTCTGTCTCTCCTCCCCTCCCTTTCCCCCTCTCTCCCGTTCTCTTCTTCCCTCCTCCTCTCCCTCCCTCTCTCCCCTGCTCCTTCCATCCTGGTTACAATGATGTCCTTCTCTGCTTCCTCACCATAATGCACCAAAACCACGAGCAAAGTGAGTTTCTCCTTTCGGCTGTTCCTGTGGTGGGATATCCCACTACTCAGACTCAGGTTTAAACCAACAGAAAGTCTTTATTAGCCAGCAAGTGGCCACCCTGGGGGTTTGGGGTCCCAGTGGAGACCTGAGCCTTTCTCAGGATGAGCTTTCAAGCACAAAAACCATGTTCTGGGTTGACATACTTCAGTTAACAAGAACAGTTAGCCAGAGGCAGAACTACAGAAGCCAAAGTCAAGGTTATTACATGTAGAGACTTTCCCAGAACTCTGGACTTTGGTGTTTGAAGTCTTGGTTTTGGTTTTGGCAGGTGGTGCTGTCTATGTGCTGAGTTTTACAGCTGAATGGTACTTCCATCATGGAGTCAGTTGTGCTAAGGTCTGGGGACTGCTGCATTTCTGTCCGGTATTTTGTCACAGAGACAGGAAAAGTAACTAACACAAAAAATTGGTATCAGGGCCACTGCTGTGACTAAGTCTCACCATGTGGTTCTTAAGTCTTTGGACTTGGTTTGTGGAGGAATTAGGAAATTAGATAAGCAGGCTAGAGAAAGTCTGGGACGTGCTACATAGAACTCAATGGGCAATTCTAGTGGGTAAACGCAAAGCCAGAATGCCAACAATGGGTAATTAAATCAAAGGCTGTTGATGCTACATTCTGGCAAAGACCTTGCCAGAATTTTGCCCATGTCCTGAGATGGGGGATGATGGGGTTAAACATGGCAGGGGATATTTCAAGGTGGTTTAAATGAAACTGTCCCCCATAGGGTCGCATGTTTAAATGCTT